TTACAATCGAAATTGGTGGTGACAAAATTAACTTTTTAGACACGACTCTTTTAATACAGAATAATACTATTATTTTCGAATGGTATCATAAACCTACGTTTTCTGGTCGATACCAGAACTTTTTATCTTTCCACCCTTCTCAACACAAAATTGGGACTATTTATGATTTAGTTGATAGGATGTTTTATCTTAGTCATCCTTCATTTCATAAGAAAAATCTTGATTTCATCATTTTGACGCTTATTAATAATAATTATCCAATTGATTTAATTTTTAAAATGATTAAACGTAGATTAAATACTCTGATTGTGAGACGTGAACTGGATGTTGAGAATGAAAAATCAAATTTGAATGTTTCTGCTATAAATAAGAAAAAATTCTTTGAAATAATATAACTAAAAAACTCTTCTTGAGTTATCAACATTAACCAAGGACAATTAGAGTTCACGCATAAGTTGTATAGTATAAACTATTAAAATATAGTGACGCAATCTCGCCATGAGAAATTTTATTAAATATCATACGCGTTTCGGTCTCATTTCACAGACCCTCTTCAGTGATTACAAGTAATGTTATAGTGTCGCAAAAAATAAAAAATCGCAAAAGTTAGTGTTAACATTGGTTGTTACAGAATTGTCGCTACAAGTTTTTTTGTCTACGGGATTCGGAAGCACAAACATAATATATCATTTACACAATGAAATGTTTCATTTTCGGAAGCTACCGGCAATTTATTCCGAGACTGGTCACTCCATCGCACGTACTAAGATGCTGTGGTATGATCATCTAAAAAACGTATTCAGATAGAGCAACCAACCCCAATGTGAGGGAAAAACAAAATAATGATATCTACCTCGATAAAGGCCAGAGAGTTCCGGTGAGATGTTACGCCTATGAACGTGTACCTCCGAATGCCGCAAACAATACAGAATCCAGTGTTTATATTTACTTCATAACCGCAAACGAAATACGATCTAAGTCAAACCGAGTAACATGTTGTAACATTTTTCTAAATTCTCAGTATCAGTATGAGAATTCAGTCCATGCGTCTGCATTTTTATAAAAATCATCTCTGCAATCATTCTTTTATAAAATAGATGTTCCTTATGCAAAACTTTGACATTATCCCATTTAAATTCGTGGCCGTAATTAACACGGTGCTCTTGTACAACAGAGAGATGCGAAGTAAGGTCTCGAGGTAGTCGTTTATGTTCAGATACACGAGTGGAGAGCCTTCTGCTCGTCTGACCAACATAAGACGAGTCATAGTCTCCGCACTCTAACTTATATACAACGTTATTCAGAAGATTCAGAGGCAAAGCGTCTTTATGAACACGAACCAGACCAGAAAGCTTGTTCATAATACTAAAACATGAAACCTTATTAAATTCTTTAAAAATCTTACTGATTCTATCTGAAATCATTCCCAAATATGGAAAAATATTATAAGAACGAGTGGGTAACAAGGAAGACGAAGATGTACTTGGTGGAATAATATTCATTTTTTCAATTAGTCGAAACACCCGTCTCCTACAGATACTAAGAATAAATTCGATGGGATAACCATTCTTAACCAATGTGTGGAAAACAAACTCAAAATTTTTTACATGGAACATTGGATGGCTCAAAAAAATTACTCTATCCACTAACCCTATGATTGTACCAATTTTATGCTGTATAGGATGAAAGGAGTTGTAATTAAGAAGGCGGCCAGAGTAAGTAGGTTTGTGGTACCAATCAAACCTAAGCCTACAATCTACAATTTCCATAGATGTTTTCAAAAAACAAACTTTGCCTCTATCGCCAAAATCAATCGTAAATTGAAGGCGTGAATGGAAAGAGTTAAAAACATTTAAGATATTCTCTATAGAAGTTTCTGGAGCAGCCATAACGATGTCGTCAACATAACGATAATAAAAAGGTAAACAGATCTGTATCGTCTGGAGTGCTCTTTCCTCAAGGTCTTGGAGAACAATATCAGCTATGATTGGAGAGAGAGGAGAGCCCATCGGGGTGCCAAAGGTCTGCTTGTAAATACAGCCATCAAAGCTGAAATAAGAGGAGTTAAGGACGAATCTGAGCGCTAATATAAACTCATCCCTAGGAATCCTACAAGCCGCTTCCAGAAATAGCTCCAATCATAGCTGATATTGTTCTCCAAGACCTTGAGGAAAGAGCACTCCAGACGATACAGATCTGTTTACCTTTTTATTATCGTTATGTTGACGACATCGTTATGGCTGCTCCAGAAACTTCTATAGAGAATATCTTAAATGTTTTTAACTCTTTCCATTCACGCCTTCAATTTACGATTGATTTTGGCGATAGAGGCAAAGTTTGTTTTTTGAAAACATCTATGGAAATTGTAGATTGTAGGCTTAGGTTTGATTGGTA